AGAAATATGGCATTCTTCTGTAAACAATGCTAATGTTGTTTTGCCTCTTATACCTCAGAACGCACAAGTTTCTTGTAGAGAATGCCAAATTCTGAGAAAAAGCCAAAACTTCGGCCTCGAAACATGACATAACATTTTCACTAAATACATGTTACTGAAAATTTGAGCAGCGAAAAACGTTGTTTTTTTTTTTTCGCCAGAAAAATAAGGGAGCAAATTTTTTACGGTTAATAACGCACAAAATCGTCCTTTGAACTTCATTCAATTGTTTCTCCAAATTGTTGCCAACACGCATCAATCAATTCCAGATTTGTATTGTGAGAGTCTGGTACCCTGATAGACCCGGGCTTCCGCCAGCGCCGCTTCGCGACCCGATGCCACGCCCGCCCCCGCCGTACGCACGGCACGGACGTGCGGCTCGGCTACGCACTGTAGGGTCCCCGAATTTTTGAAACATTTTTTCATGCGCATTGAAAAGTCTCCCCCTGCAAGGCGTTCCGCGCGCCGCACGGGGCGCCCCAGCGCGCTGGCCAGCCGGGACTTTAGCCTCCTCTTAAGACAGCCTCCACACCCTCGTTGGGGGGCAGGGGGATCCACCCCTCCCCCCGTCAAAATGGGATGCCAAGATGGCGGCTAGTCAGGATGGGCTACCTTTACTACTCGTGTGCATAACAAAATAATTGAAAACTACACGAAGCGTGCAGAGAACGGTGTTTTTGTTATGCGCACGCGGAACTTACAATTTCTATTTCATAGTAACCATTGTCCTTTAAGGACCAAGAACTGTTGCTTTAAAAAAGTTCGTCTCATTATCGTGTGGTTGTGTGGTTCCGAAATCCCCGTCGGTCCGTTCTTCACAGATTCACTCCGCAAATTACGTAATGAGCTGACGCCTGCGAGACACTGTGTAGGCAAGCCCGCAGAACACTCATGCAACCGACAAGATGTTGCCTGCCTAACAGGCGCTTCCAACAGCTGACCCCGGAAGCGTCGGTGCGATGCGATGAGACATCGATGATTTAAAGTGATCGAATAGACGTCGAAACGATGTCGTTTCGACATACATAATTTCTCTCTGGGGTATTGCTATGGGCTTTGCAATCTTTGTTAAACATTAAAATCAGTGAATCGCCTTGTGAGAGCATCCGCTGCGATTTGGGTTTCCCTGGGTACGGATGACAGCCACACTGTTTTGTTCACGCGTCGTCTAATTTTACATGATTTTCGATTCTGCGTGCGTATAACGTTTTAACAGTTTGAAACACGCAGCGTGCAACTTTTTTGAGAATAAGTGTATACACGCATCGTACATATAAATTCAAAATATTTATGTGCACGCAGCGTGCAGATTGTTCCAAATTTGTTAATGGCGCGTATTTTTTTCAAACCAAACCATCCCAACTCCCTCGCCAACTTCTCAACCTAAAACACCAAAATGCGCACGTCTTTGCCCACTATTCTCCAGAGTCTGCACTCCGGGATCGAGACCTTTTCTTAGACGAGGTCCGCTGCGAACTTCTGCCGCTTTGAGTTTTCTGCGTGCACATAACGTTTTGAGAGTATAAGACACGCAGCGTGCACAATTTCAGAAAATTGTTGTATACACGCAGCGTGTCCATAACTTTTCCGCATTTATTAGCACGCTTCGTGTACATAAGATCGGTCTTAGATAAAAGCAATTGATCCTTAGCTGCCATATATTTCAAGGTATTAATTTAATCTAAGATGAAAAGTTATTTAGATTTTGTATTGCATCTCACTTCGTTTACTTTGCAGTATGCAAAAAGGAGACAAGCAGAGGTTTAAGATTACCAAGGCCTTGACTTTGCATCTGATGACTCATCCAAGTCAAAGATAATTGAGGTTTGTATGGAGATGATAGTAAATATATTAATTTTATGGTGACAGTAATTTTATTCTGTGGCTTTGCCTTTTACAGGAAGCTGAGCAAATTATGAAGGATTTTCTTCAAAAATGTAAAAAGGTATGTGCTGAAGTACCTTCTGAAGCTCAGGCTAAAGCATTACAAGAACGATTACAAGAATTACGTGCAGAAGTTTTGTCCAAAGACAAACAATGTGTACATCAAAACGTTACTTTCTCAATAATTCTTTGGCATCGGGCCTCGGTTGGGTGTATGTGAAAGCACCACAACCCCTCTAAATGATCTCAGGGAGTTTTTCCACTGATTTGCACTGGAAGAACTATATCCTGTTCGTTTTAGACTCTCATTTTAATCTATATGTTGCTTGTGATTCCTAATGTTATTTACTCATTTCTCATTTTACTTTTGGAACCTTTTGAATGGACCTCTTATCTTACATTAAAAACCTCAGAGAAGTTGTTTGCATGAGACTTAGAAGATATTGTTTACAGTTTCATGAAAATGGATTCAATTTAGGGAATAAACTTTTGAATAATTTTAAAATATATAATATATACAAATTTTAAGACCAGTAAACTCTAACAGTGGCCGAAATGGGCTCTCTACACACCGCACATGTTTCTAGTGACGGTACACATTTTACACAACTTACTAAATGCCCGCAGGGAAGAAAGGCAACACCTATCTCCTCAGAGAAACATATTTTGCACGCTCCAGCATCGTCTATTGATTTGGTTGGTGTTTTAGACACCTCTTGTGGTTTGTTTGATTCTTCAGAAACACTGCTGCTTGAGCTAGCCTCTGATGTTTCCTCTGGCAAAGGGTGCTGTTGCACAACATTCAAATACTCCTTGGGTATGGCCAGAGCTCGAATCTCCTGGTAATCATAAAAAATTCCAGTTATGAATAATTTTATAACAACACACAAGAATTCTGACGTTTCTGTTAAATAGTACCTCTGGGGTTAGAGTTGCTGGTCTTTTGCCCAGGACCTCAGCGATAAAGTCTTGTCCCTTTGTTTGTACTACATGGCTACACCTTGAAAAACGAAGGGCATGCTCTCGCCAAGGATCATCAGTTTCAGCCCAATCTTTCAGGCCGCCTCCACATTGGAAACACATGGTTTTGTCACCAAGACCTGTAACACACAGAAGAAAGTGAAAAATTAGTGAATGAAACAGGTTAGTGAGCCTGCGGTAACATTTGTGCATTTTAACAAATAAGATGAAGAAAATATTAATGAACTTACCAGTGAAAAAGAAACCAGCCTCAGCAAGTTCTTGAGGTCTCAATTTCAGGCCAATTGGCCAACTTTCGTAGGACTCTATCCGGGCATCTAACGTTGCATATGCCGGATGTGCAGGGTTGTACCTTTTTTGGATTCCTAGTTTTTCCAGAGATGGTATCACAGGACAGTTGTCAGACTTCTTTATGTTGTAGATACCACACTCATCATATCCACCACGTTCCACTGGAGGAAGAGGAGGGGGATTTGAAGGGTCAATGGGGATATTGCCAACTTTCATATGTTTCAAGAAACTGCAATTTTTCGACCACTTCTTGTGTTCCTCAATGGGATCATCTCCCTCTTCCCACCGTCCAACTTCCACATTGCAAAAGGCACATCGCACAATGTCCTCACACTTAGTGTACCAAAACCCCGCTGCAGCCAACTGCCTTACATTCATGGCACGAGATGGGAAGCCGGCAAAGGACTCCAAACGTTCCTTCTCACTTCTAAAATTGGACGTCCTTAAAGATAGAAGAGATGTTGGTCGTGGCGCCGGGTGGTGATGGCTTATTTCTGGTAATAAACTGACTAAAGCTGCTCCTTTGGGATTAGGCGGCATCTGAAAAAAAAATAAAAGCACTGGTAAGACAACTGTGATAAACAAGTACATGACAAGTCAACTCATTCACACATCGGTACAATGTCATTGTGATCTAAAGAGAGATCAGAGAAAGTGATTATCACAACACAAACACAGAGAAATAGTACTGAAAATACAGCACATGCAATCAAATTTTGCATTTTTTTGTTTCTTTCTGTTTTTAAATTTAATTCCGTGAACAAATATTTCAAAATTCCTGAAAACGTAGGACTGAGCCACGCAAACCGAAACCCAAGACTACGAAAAGACGGGAGTTGTTTACATTGGATGCCTCAGCCTCAACTGAATCTGCCATGTTTCATTCGTTTGCTTGTCGTTCTTGGCAATACTACTTGAACTGAATTGAACTATCCAGAGTGTGTTTGACCTTGCGAGCTGAATTTATTGCGACTCGCGACTCGCAATTTTCCACCGCCACTATAGCCCCTGACCGGACGGCGACCAACGGCGACGGCTCCCTCAAGCCTCAGGGTTGTTAGACTGGTTAGACCAGGCCGAGAGCAGAATGTCGTACCAACTTCCCAAAATTATCGTACCGAGACCCAAATTGTCGTACTTTTTTTAAAAACGCCCTAATACCCATAAAATCGACAAAAATTGAAAGGAAAACACTCTTTTTCCTTGCTTTGTATGAATTTGAGGTTATAAATTAGCATGGATACAAGAAAAAGCCAAGAGGAGGGATTTTTGTGTCCGTTGGGTAAGCTGAAGCTGGCGTGGGGAGCGGAGAAGCGAGGCTGGTGCCCCCTCCCTACCCCTCCAATACTCTCGGAAAGGGCGAGGGGTATGGCGGGGAGCACGGGTGGGTGGTGTGCGCACAAGCTACCAACCTCTGAGCCTTCAAATTGAGCACATACTGGACATTTTTAGATGATTTGACATAATTTTTCAAAAATGTCGTATCTTAGTGAAAATATCGTACTTTTATCGTACGATAGTCGTACCGGATCGTATGTCGTACCGGAGCCGAAATTGTCGTACAAGTACGACAATTGTCGTACGTCTGGCAACCCTGCCTTATGGCAGCCTCGACGGCCTTACCGTTTGATCCAAATGTATCTGATCAGTTAGTTATTGAACATGGACCTATGGAGTTATTGCACCGATGGAATTTGTGGTTAATGCTGCTATTTACTATGATATAGCACACATGAAAGTGGGCAACTCTGATGCACCAAAGTGAGTTGTGACATCAAGATTGTTCCAGTGACTGTTTCAATACATGTAAATAAGTTTCTTAATCTCATGTTGTTTTTGCAGAGGTGATTCTTCCAAACCAGAAATTTATCACCCTAAGGATAAGAAAGAAAAAGAAGCAGAAATCCAAGGTGCTGAGGATAGTTCCATTTCACCTGGAGGAGTCATTACTAGTCAAGGATGAGACATACCCAGAGCTGGCTCCTGGAGGGTCATCTACGGAGGTATGTGTGATATGTAAACTTCTATTAAAGTAGGTCGATTAAGGGTTTAAGTACTCTTGGGGCAGTATTTTATGTTTTTATTGACTGTGTATTAAAGAGTGAAATTTCATACATCTGTACATCATTGTTTTCAGGAGGATGATGCAGTGGAAAATGAAAATGGTGATAATGAAAGTGAGTGTTCCCTTCCTGCTGGCCGGGAAGGAAGTGCTTTCCCTAAGGCATTTGAACGCGACTTAGTGACACCAACAAATCTTACTGTATCTCAAAATACAAGTCGGCAAAATCAGTGGAGGAAAATTTAACACAAGAAGAGAAAAAGGATGGTTTAGAGTAAGTTTATTATGGAACATAATAACCAAACTTTCCTCCATATCCTCCTTTACCAGACTGCTTCATGCAAACAAATTTTATTTTTCAGAAGTTCGGGAGATGAAGCATACACAATGATTCGGAAGATGGAAGAGAGGAGAATGTCGTCTTTAGATCACCATTGGGCTGTGCCAAAGCAGAAAGGAAGTCAGGACAGCAAGGACGGAGATGGGGAGGTAGTCACCAAAAATAAAGATGATTCGTGCCATCTATCAGCTGCCATCGCAGAAGGGTTGGATGAACAGGAGGGGAACGAAAACCTCGTCAAATCCTCTTGTCATGATTCTGGAATTGATATCCGAGATGCAGATCAGCCCCCATTGCCTCCCATCATCCCCTGTACTAAAAAGGTAGTAATTCAAAGTCTGTTAAACGCTGTGGAATGGAGGATGTGCTCCTACTAACTTTTTGGTGAATTGACTTGATTATCACTAACCAAGTAAGTCAACTGTCATTCGATCATAAACGACCCATGGGCTAAGGAAGATGCCCCTGTTCACTAACCCTTTGCAAGTGCTTTTTCTCATCTGTTTGTCGGATACATGTTCACTTCGTTGGTAAATTACACACTGTAGTTTTCGTATTCCTTGTTCTTTTGTCTTTGTTCTGATAGTTTTTGTTGTTGTTGTTTTCTTTTATATCAGTTTGCAACCATTGAGTAAGAAAAATCATCTATTCATGATTCATGCTCATTTC